TAACTATTAGACTAGACCAGGGTTTCCTAAACATTGGGCCTCGACCCACTGGTGAACCACTGGACTAGATGTTTACAGCATCGTTTTCATTTTCGTCACCGCGAAATGAACAAAAATAGCCTAAGTGGCGCCTACCACTACAAATTCCTTTGAATTTGCGGACAGACATACAGACAATTGATTTTTTTAATTTTTTTCGTCATGAGCAATACGGTATCGTTAGACTATGAATTTTAGTTTATAGACGAAAATAAACGACAGACAGAAAAGAATATGACGTGTTTTCATAAATGTCAATTGTCAGTTTGCCTGTCAACTTTCAAATGAATTGTTTTGTAAATTTAAATTTATTTATTGTAATACATATCTTATAATGTCGTCACATTTAATAAATAAATTTAAACAATTCGATGCCTATGCAAAAACTTTAGAAGACTTTAAAGTAAAAACAGCAACAGGAGCAACAAGTAACTTAATTTCAATATCAGTTTCTTTTTTATTATTATTTTATTTGTGTGAAAATAATTAAAATTAATTTGTTTCAGTTACTGTTGCTGGTGTAATTATTATGGCATTATTGTTTTTGTCTGAATTATATACATATATGTCTCCAAATATATCAGAAGAATTATTTGTAGACACATCCAGGGGACATAAATTAAGAATTAATTTCGATATTGTTGTGCCAAGTATATCATGTAGTTGTAAGTATAATAAAGCTAAAAATATTTTAATAGCATTGTAATTGGAATGTCCTCTAATTAAACAGTTAAACTCCGTTATTACACAAAAATTTGAATAGAAGAATTAATCACCATGTACTATAAGTTATGAACTTCAACTTTCACTGAGTTACCTATTATTTTAAAACACTTACATTTTTCTTCCAGATTTGGTACTGGATGCAATGGATTCTTCTGGGGAACAGCATCTTCAAATGGATCATAATATCCACAAAAGAAGATTAGACTTGGATGGAAATCCAATAGAAGAACCTAAAAAAGAAGAAATTGCTGTTTCTTCCACAGTATGTTCTGCAAATATTAGATTACCTTTTTCTAACTCTGGAGCTAAATTAATCATAATAATAATTGTCCTGTAGGTTAAACAGAACACATCTGAAGTAGCAATAGTAACATGTGGGAGTTGTTATGGGGCTGCCTTTAATGATTCTCAGTAAGTGTATTTTCCTCACTTATCTCTTTTTACTTCCTTACATATCTATGACAAAAGAATTTTTCATTCATCATAAATTGTGTTTTAACAGTGAACATACAAGAATTTATTCCAATTAAATTTGATTAACACTTGTAAAAGGTTTGGTTATATTAATAATACTAGCTTTCGCCCGCAACTCTGTTGGCATGGACTTAAAAATAAACAAAAGTGGGTAGCCTCTGTGTTCTTCCACACTATCCTCTCTGTCTATGCCAAATTTCATTGAGATCCGTTCAGCAGTTTAAGCTACAAAGTCTAACAAACATCCATCCATCTATCTAAACATTCACATTTATAATATTAGTTAGATTGGTGTTCTTAAGAACATACAGTACCTCATAACTACATTTAGTTGATATTTTGTGTTTAAAATAGTTGCCACAATCCTACATTGTGATATTGGTGTGCAATTCTGCAAGACCATAGATAAATAAAACATGTCCTGGCGATTTTTTTCATTTAGATGTTGCAATACCTGTGAAGATGTAAAAGAAGCATACAGAATCAGAAGGTGGGCGTTACCAGATTTAGCAACTATTGTACAATGCAAAGATGACGAGTCATTAGAAAAAGCTAATTTAGCCCTTAAAGAAGGTTGTCAAATCTATGGCTATATGGAAGTTAATAGAGTAAGTTTATGCCAAATATTCCTACCGTTCAGTGTTTTTAAAGCTCTAATGTAACATTCTGATAATTTTAGTGTATGCATAGATATGTAGTAAGGATAAACAAATCATCAATTAGTCTTTATAGTAAAATGTAGCAAACAAGAGGCCACTGATCAACAATTATTTGGATGTAGCATAGCACTTGATACCAATGGACATCTGCAAAAAACAATATACACATATGTATATTTTTGTATATTATTAAATAAAGGAGGAAATTGTACAACAGAAAATTATCTTCACTTTCTAACAAATGGAAAAGGGAAGACATTTTTTGTTTTCCTCTGCTAATATTAGATTTAGGATTATTAATGTAGTAACATTTTAAATATAAAATTATATCTAATAACTTCATAATGGAACCATTTGTAGGTTGGTGGTAGTTTTCACATAGCTCCAGGAAAAAGTTTTACAATTAACCATGTCCATGTTCATGATGTGCAACCGTATCCTTCATCCGCATTCAATACCACACACATAATACAACATCTTTCTTTTGGAAGTGATATAAAAAGTGCTAATACTGCACCTTTAGATGGTATTAAGGGAATAGCCAAAGAAGGTATGTATAAGGTTTATTTTACCAATATATTACAACAGGAATGTAAAGTTGTCCAATATTAAGTATATGTAATTTAAAATAAATGATTTGATGTTTTATTATTTAAACATCAAAATTTAATAACATTATTACTAAATATGGGATTTTAGTGATAATCAGATAATGAAACAGATTTTTTTTAAATTCATCTTAATTAGAACATTATTTTTATAACCAAAGACTATTGTACCTATGGATATATAGTGAATACTTGAAATAAAACATATAATGTTTCTGACTTTTATCAAAACTAGTTGTTAAACCTTAAGATTTTCCAGTTTGTTCTTCTACAGTCACATATACCTAGAAGCCAAATATTATGTTCATCTAAACAGAAAGACCCTTTGTAGTCAAAAAATGCAGTATGAATGTTTTAACATCTAATTCGTTTACCTTTAACTTTAATAAAAATTTAATTTTGATGGTATGTGATTTCATCCACCATGTTATTGAATCAACACAAGAAACAAATGTATCATATGAGATTCTCTATCACTGCATTCTTAGCTTTATCTTAAAACCTTATTTTTAAAGAAAAGTTTGTAGGAACTGTGTAATAAAAACACCATGAAATGCAAATTAATACTTAATGTTTATTGCTAATAAGACAACAAATTTGAAAAAAAAAACAAAGTAGACCAAAACTTATACATTACCAAGACACCTGTCTCTAAAAAAGTTTGTTTTAGGAAAATCAAATTGCGTTACACTTAATTGCATTCTTATGCAATTTTTATGGCAAATATTCGTAATTTGAATTTGCATCTGAACCTAAATATAGACATCAATTTCTTTATTGGTCCATTGAACTATTTTTTTATGGACAATACTTATTAACTAAAATAACCAAACAAATTTAATAATAACACTTGACACTTTATATTATTTAGACTACCCCATTCAAATGTGTGTTTTCATCACATTTGTTTTACATAAATGCATTTTTTAATAAATTGTTGTATTGAGTCTTAAATTTACTAGCAAAGAAAAAGAGAAATTTATGTTGATACATTGCCACTTCTGTGGAACTATTTGACAATTTTATTACCCTTCATGGAGTGTTAAACATACTAAACCCTTATATGAACCCCCATTTTAATGACGCCTAAAGTAATTTTAACAATTACACCTCCCGAAGACTTTTAAGGAAATAAATTTTATACTACTACACCTTTTATTACGATATATACAATTTTTTATCTTAGACTTTCTTATTAACAACGAATTCCAGTTCCAATTGCCATAAAAGTACCAAATGTTCCTCCACCTTGGAGCATTACTTTTCCAACAGAATGTACCAATTCTCTCCCTCTCGCACCGTATCTGTAATTTTAAAAAAGTAATCGTTTCGGTAATACTATTTTATGAAGAAAGCTAATCTTATGTAATTTATAATATCATTAACCTCAAAGCTGTAAAACCTCCGAATAAACCGCCGCTTGCCATGCCTACACAAAAACCAATCATGAAACCCATTTTCATTTTATCGAAACATGAAGGGCCTTGACTTTGGTAGACTCCTCCTGGCACCGGCATTGTTAATATTAACTCCTTTCTACTTACGAAAATAGAAATCGTTCGCTATTTATTTTTTATTTGACAGTTCAAAATTCTTATGTCACAAATAATCACATTCAGGCAACATAGATTAAAAATACAATTTAGTGAACAAAGCGATTAGTAGTATAATAAATAAAAATCGATTTTACATATTTCTCCAAAGTGATAATAAGTAACATATAAATTAATTACATTATTTAGTGGTAAATTGAATAATTTAGTATTTGTTGACTATCATCATCGGATAAGCGGTATTTCAGTTTATATTTTAGGTGAACAGTATTTACTATTTCTGAATCTCGTGATGTTTCAGGTGCTGTTATGTTCCAGTACTATATAAAAATAGTTCCTACAATGTACGTAAAACTTGACAAGACTGTGTTGCATACAAACCAGTTTTCAATAACTAGACATCAAAAGTCAGTGTCTAACATTCATTCAGAATCTGGAATGCCAGGAGCCTTTTTCAGTTATGAGTTATCCCCTCTTATGGTGAAGTACACAGAAAAAGAAAGGTAGAGTAAGCAGATGTATATTTACTATAACCCATTTATAACACTTTATATAAAAGTATATAAGGTATGGTAGAGTAATAAACAGATGTGCCTATCACCCCAAGAAACAAACAAGTATTTAATTACACTTATATTCAAAATCTGAAGAACCAGATACTAAAAGTGTTTCTGTAAGGAAGAGAGCATTCTACAAAATTATTTAATATTTTGTAGTTTTTAGTAACAAGCATATGTAGTTAGGATTAGCTTCGGGAAAGCAAAAAGCAGAGAGTGGACGAGTTGGTTTTTGACATCTTTTCTGGTAACCACATAAGCAATCTATTTATAATTGGGGTAGTTTATTAGATTCTGATAAGAAAAGACATACTCGAGACAGCATAACATTCTTTATTAAATATATATCTTTCCACAGGTCCCTTGGCCACTTTGCTACTAACATCTGTGCCATAATTGGAGGAGTATTTACAGTTGCTGGTATCTTAGACACACTTTTGTACCATTCTCTTAATGCTTTCCATAATAAAATAGTATTGGGTAAAGCTGGATAATATAAGCTCATATGGTCTTTAAAAACATGTTAAAATCATCAACATGACATTTTGCATACTTTTTACAAAATTCTATATCAGTAAGTTCAACTAAAGCATTTATTGGAACAAAATTTTCAATAGTTGGATTGTATTGTGCTCTACCCAATTTCTCCAAAAATGTATGTCTTTGTTTTACTTTGAAATTTCTGCATAATAAAATGTGTGGACACTGTAAAATTGTTTTATGTGGAATTTTCATTACATTATGAATATAGTTGAACCTCTCCACTAAGGCTTTTTGACCTGAAAAAAAAATTATTCAAATTAATTAAACAAAGCATACAATGTGCTAATTTTATGTTTGTTAAAATGTTAATATTGAAAGTAAGAAAATAGAAACAAGTAGGCGTGTGACTTATAATTTTACAACCAGTCTTTTATTATTTATGACTAGCTTTCGCCTGCGACTCCATACACATAGACATAAAAAAAAGTGTGTAGCCTATGTGTGCATCCAGAGTGTCCTCTATGTCTATGCCAAATTTCATGAAGATTCATTTAGCTGTTTAGCCTACAAACTCTATCAAATATACATCCATCCACCTAAATATCACATTTATAATATTAGTAAGATATGATGTAGATATAGTTTAGGTGGCTTAAAACAGCCAGATATTTTTGTATAACATAACAGGCTGTATAGAGCATTGACTAATTATATAATCACTGCATTCTGTCAGTACCTTGGTGTCAATTTCTCATACTTAAACCTGCACTACTCTCCTAGTCACCATTAAATGACTGAACATAGTTATATTTTGTAATATAATATATGAATTACAAAATCAGGTGTTGCATTTGTTTTTAAAACATATATAAACAACTTACTCATCATCAACAGCCTTGGTTTGTTTAATATTAACTGTTTAATTTCATCATCCTCAAAACCCATTTCTTCTTTAATTACAAAAGAATTTGTTTGTATATGAAGAAGGTTATAGGTAATTAATCTGGGTTGTTTTGTTGCTAAAAACCGTACTTCATTTCCACTTAACTCAAACTTTTCTTGATAAAATCCTAAACGTCTGTCAATTCTCACAGTGCTAAAAGAGAGGTTATTATAGGTTAGGTGCATAGTGAAACACATAAGAAACATTCCTGGAATATCAATTCATAAGCATTAAAATATTTTATGAGAATTACCTGTACATTAGCCAAAAAGGGTTTTTTGTAATTATTCTGCTGATTTCATCTTGATTAAAATGCTTTGATTTTAAATAATTTACTCTCACTTCAAGGTGTTCTATATCTTCACAAAGTATTAAAGGATTTTTTGTTAAAAAATTTCCAATGTCATCTGCATTTACAAAATCCTTAAGAAACATAAGACTCTTCTTAATATCTGCTTCGAAATTCAACTTGAGGATTTTTTCAGCAATAAAAGGCTTCTTCTCTATTTTGCTCAGATTAACGTTTAAATGAATTAAATTTTGCAATGTCTCAGAATTGTTAACATAGGCGGCTAAATTAAATGACTGCGGGAAATAGGGAGTTACTGTCGACAAGTCCTCAGATGTGTATTCTAAAGAATTATTCCCTTGTTTTTCATAATTAATAACAGCACAATTTAAATTGCTGTTTGATGAATATAAGAACCTAACATTACATATTCGTTTAATAAAAAAATATTTTTGAAACATATTCAAATTCATTTTATATAACTTTAACTTATAGTAAACTTTTTCTTTTTAACTTTATGATTCAAAATAGTGTTTATTTTATGTAATAGTTATTAATATGCAATAATTTCGCAGCTTTTAAATATAAACAGCTCCTGACTCGAATTTGACAAATGTCAGCATAGAGTATACAGATCACTAACCTGTGGAAATGGACAGGTTTTAAAAGGTTTTGTCTTTAATTTTGGCAATAACTGTTGTGGTGTACGACGAAGGTGGTGAGAATTCGAACTAATAAAAAAACACAGTTATATACATATTACAAAGGCACATTTAGGGCGGAACGAAGTGAAATGAAAACTGTCATTTTCAATAAATGACTTATGCATTTTTAAATCAGTGGTATAGTTTTAAAATATGACCACATAAAAAAAAACGTCAATGTCATTGCTTCTGTTGTGTGTCAATTGTTTGTCATTGTCACATTTGTCAATTTGTCCTGGTTTAATCAATGTCAGATCTTTTGCCCGGTTCACACTTGGCCAGTTCAGTTGGACAGTTGACCGGCAAGCGACACTTATTGGCGCCTGTTAGCGTTCACACTCTGCCAGTTAATTGACGGTCCATTCAGAGCACTTCTGACCAACTGTGCTGACCAAGTGTAAACCGCGCATTTCTTTGTACAATTGGTACAATTTTACATTTGCGTTCGCTTATCGCTTAGGTCCAAGGTTGACGTTTGTCGTGTTGTCGTCATTAAATTTTCGCAGTATAGTCAATAAGTTGGAAGTTGCATCAGGTAATAAAATTTATCCGTATTATAAATATAGCGTTTTTTGTTGTATTTTCATTGATTATGATATTCTCTTGAAGTAACTTCAACTGTTTTTAATTTAACCTTATTTTTGTACTTACCATATGGTTGCTTGAGAATGTAATACACGGAGAAAAGTCTACATAATGTTAAACATTCGCAAAAAATGTTGCTAAAGGAAGTGTCAAAAATATTCTTCGTATATTCCATTACGCTCACATATGTATATATATTTTTATGATAGTAAATGAACCATATGACTTTCATGTATAAGTTCATTTAAAAAATAGATCAAGCTAGCTAGCAAGTATAAGCAAGTATAATAAAAAAAAATTATACTTTATTTTAAATCAAGTTATTTTAAATTTTATTTAATATGAATTAAACATTTATTATGTACAATATGTTGTATTTACATTTATTTTAAAATAAAATTAAATTTAACCAACAAACTTAATTGTATTGTAAATTATACTTCTTATTAATGCAAATGTTTGAATATACCTATTTCATACTATGTATCTTCAAAAAAGTTTATGATATTCAGCATAGATTTAAAACATAGTGTAGAAATAAAAAGGGGTTTTTCAATTGCCTATGTAGGCTACTTACCAGATTTATTTATTTTGTAATTTGGTTTGCATGATGCCATGGACAAATGCTAGTTAAACTATAAAGTGAAAGTAAAGTTTCAAGAGTAAGAATTGCTTCAATAATCATGACATTCACCTGAATGTGTGAGACTGCTACACTGAGATTTAAAACTTCAACTGCAATTTTTTTACTAATAAAATTTAAGATTATCATATTTTGTATTAAGTGATGTATATAATTTATAGAGATGACATATGTAGAGTTTTCGAATTTTGCTGTGGACAAAATACAATTTTAAGTAGTGATTTTGAGTTGGGTGTAAAGTACTGCAGGAGAAGCATGTTACTTAAATTCAATTATTCAGTAGAATATAAAATTGTTGCCCATGGGTGGTACATGAGGAGTTATAATAATGTCAAATCTATGTTAATGTTCTGACTCAAAATAAAGTGTTTTATTTTTCAGATAAATTGCTGCAATGGATACTTCAATGACAGGAAACCAGATCCGGAAAACTTTCATTGATTTCTTCATAGGTAAAGGTCATAAATATGTGCATTCCTCATCCACTATTCCATTGGATGATCCAACTTTACTCTTCGCCAATGCAGGCATGAATCAGTTTAAGCCAATTTTTCTTGGATCAGTTGATCCCAATTCTGACATGGCACAATATGTTCGAGTTGTGAATACTCAGAAGTGTATTCGAGCTGGTGGGAAACACAATGATTTAGATGATGTGGGGAAAGATGTTTATCATCATACATTTTTTGAAATGATGGGTAATTGGTCATTTGGAGATTATTTTAAAAAAGAAATTTGTGCTTGGGCTTGGGAATTGTTGACTGAAGTCTATAAATTACCAGCTAATCGATTATATGTAACATATTTTGGAGGAGACGCTGCATCTGGACTAGAACCGGACCTGGATTGTAAAAACATTTGGTTAAATCTTGGACTTCCAGAATCACATATACTACCAGGAAGCATGAAGGACAACTTTTGGGAAATGGGTGAAACTGGTCCCTGTGGACCTTGCTCTGAATTGCATTATGATAGAATAGGAGAAAGAAATGCTGCACACCTTGTCAATATGGATGATCCAGATGTTTTGGAAATTTGGAACTTGGTATTCATACAATTTAATAGAGAAGCAGATGGCTCCTTAAAATTATTGCCTAAGAAACATATTGATTGTGGATTAGGTCTAGAGAGGCTGGTTTCTGTTATCCAAAACAAAAGAGCTAACTATGACACTGACTTTTTCATGCCTTTATTCAAAGCTATTGAAACTGGTACAAAGACAAGACCATACACTGGTAAAGTAGGTGCTGATGATGTTGATGGTATTGACATGGCATATCGTGTGCTAGCTGACCATGCAAGAACATTAACTATTGCTTTGGCAGATGGTGGATGTCCTGACAATACAGGAAGAGGTTATGTTCTTCGAAGAATTTTACGCCGTGCTGTTCGCTATGCATCTGAAAAATTAAATGGGAAACCGGGATTTTTTGGTTCTCTAGTTCATACTGTAGTAGAGTTACTTGGTGATGTTTTTCCGGAAATAAGAAAAGATCCAGAATCAATCATACAAACAATAAATGAAGAAGAAATTCAATTTTTAAAGACACTTTCTAGAGGGAGAAATTTACTTAACAGAACTATTGAAAAACTAAGTGGATCAAAAATCATACCAGGTGATGTTGCGTGGCGTTTATATGATACATATGGTTTTCCTGTTGATTTAACACATTTAATGTGTGAAGAGAAGGGGTTATCAATTGACATGGAAGCTTATGAAAAAGCTAAAAAAGAATCCCAATTAAATTCTCAAGGTAAAGCTTCAGGACAAGAAGACTTATTGGCTTTGGATATTCATGCCATAAGTCATTTACAGGAAAGTGGTGTGCCTGTAACGGATGATTCGCCAAAATATGGCTACTCTCCATCTTCAAATGACAAAGATGCAGTTTATAGCTTTGCACCATGCACTGCAACTGTTTTGGCATTAAGATGGAACAAAGAGTTTGTTAATGAGGTACAGTCTGGTCAGGAATGTGGTTTAATATTAGATCAAACTAATTTTTACGCTGAACAGGGGGGTCAAATATTTGACGAGGGTTACATGGTTAAAGTGGGTGATGATAGTGTTGAATTTACTGTGAAAAATGTCCAAGTCAAGGGTGGATATGTTTTACATTCTGGTAAAGTAGAAGGCATATTAAAAGTTGGTGATAAAGTTTCTTTGCACATCGATACGGAAAGACGTAGGCTTGTTATGAATAATCACACTGGTACACATATACTTAATAATGTATTACGAAAAGTTCTTGGAAACGACTCTGACCAACGTGGATCTCTTGTAATGCCAGACCGATTGCGATTTGACTTTACTAATAAGGGTCCTATGACTGCTAAACAAATAAAAGATGCGGAGGATGAAATTAAAGACATTATTGCACAGAATAAAGCTGTTTATGCTAAGCACACTAATCTTAGTGATGCGAAAAAAATTAAGGGATTAAGAGCAATGTTTGATGAACACTACCCCGATCCTGTTCGCGTAGTTTCCGTTGGCATACCTGTCGAAGAATTAGAAAAAAATCCCGATGGTCCTTCTGGCTATGAGACATCTGTTGAATTTTGTGGAGGATCGCATCTTCATCAAACTGGACATATAGGAGATTATGTCATAGTCAGTGAAGAAGGTATTGCTAAAGGTATTCGTAGAATTGTTGCTCTGACAGGTCCAGAAGCTGTTAAAGCACTGAATAAGCTTAGTGTACTAGAAAATGAAGTAAACAATATCGCTAACTTCATCAAAGAGCAAGGTGATGCCGTAAATCAAAAAGAGATCGTAAGAAAAATTGTAGATCTAACCAATGATGTATCTCATGCTCAAATATCATACTGGAAAAAGGAAGAACTAAGAAATATGTTAAAGGGATTAAAAAAACAATTGGACGATAAAGAAAGAGCTTCAAAAGCCATGATTATAACTCAGATTATTGAGAGAAGTAAAGAATTATGTCTTGAAGAAAAGGACTCTGAAGTTATTGTCACTGAATTAAAAGCTTCAGGCAATACTAAAGCCCTTGATGGTGCCTTGAAACAGGTAAAACAGATGTTACCAAATACCGCTGCTATGTTTTTTTCTGTAGATGATGAGACAAACAAAATCTATTGCTTGGCAGCCGTGCCTAAAAGTCTAAATGGGAAAGGTTTGTTGGCCTCCGAGTGGGTCCAATCAATTGTTGGTGTCATGGATGGTAAAGGTGGTGGAAAGGCAGAATCTGCTCAAGCATCAGGAAATAATCCAAAATGTATTGCAGAGGCAATCAATATTGCCAAGGAATTCGCGTCATCAAAACTAAAGTAATTCAAGCTGCTCGAGTTTCGCATTTAAATTATTTTTTCTTATTGCCACGCAAATTGACATTTCATCATATAAAATCAATTGCATTTCAGTTAATTTAAACATGTGAATAAGTCGGTCTTTTATTTTTTAAATGTATCAGATATTTCAATCTGAATAAAATAAACTTGAAAACTATAAGAATGTCATTTTATTTATTTCATGAATAAAAATTTAATTTATAAAAATATATATTCATCGCATTTTACTTTAAAAACAAACACTGAACCGATGTCAGTTCTATATAAATGTTTATTCATTGAAAAAGTTTAAGTAACTAAATAATCATCATAATTACTCAACTTCAAATTATAGTATTAAATAAAAATGACAAAAATTGTGTTTTTTAGGCTTTTATTGAACTTTATAGACGAACTTTTTAAATATAGCTCAAACAAAATATATCTTATACAACTGATGCAATACACTAATTTTATCTACATAATATATTTATTGTTAAAACAAATATTCATACAAGTATTTGGTTGGTCTTTTTGATGGCACCGATCTCAAAATTGTGGAATTTGCCATTTGTGAAGATTGGTGCTCATAAAAAATATAAGTGATAATAATTTACATTTTTACTAAAAATAACAAAAATATTTATTCCTGCCCGAACCCTTCAGTTTCTTCTATAGCGTAATTTAATTTTTCACACAACTGTTCGTAGCTTTTATAAGGCGGGAGGTCCAATCTGTTAAAACACGTGTGCGACCGCGGCAGCCACGTCTCCTTACCCACCTGCAACAAACATTACATCACTTTTTTTTTCAAAATAATTATTGTTTAACCATTCCACCAATTCATTTTACCTATAAAACTACGAGTTTATATATTTTACCAGCTTACACTTCAAAATCAGTCAATTTGTTTAGATTACAGTAGGCCGAGCAAGAAAATTTGTATTAAATTGTGCAGCATCCCTGACAGACGCAAAGTACACTGACAAATCGCACACAAATTTTATAATATTCTAGATTTCGTCTGCGACTCCGTCCGCCGTAGGATAAAAAAACAAAAGTGAGTATGTGTTCTACCAGACCTATTTCTACATCTACACCATATTTTATCGAAATCGGTTCAGCCGTTTAGGCTACTAACAAACATCCATTTTTCTATCTAAACTTTCGCATTTATACCATAAGTAAGATCTCACACGCGCGCAGGCTATGCCACATACTGTGAGTCATATAAAAAGGTTAATTGGTAAGTCATGCGCTTAGTTACCTTTTCTATACAAAATCGTTGCGGTCCGTTGGAGCCCATCAGTTCAGCGAAACCGCCGACCGGCACGCGGCAGGTGCCCGTCACAAACTGCAGCAACCTCGCTCGCTTCTCGTTGTCCATTTGTCGTACGAACTTCACAAAACGAATACACCAAAATGTTACATCATAAATAATAGCAATATCAGTAATCCTTTATTCTATTCTTTCCCTACTTCGATTGCATTAATTGATAGAAAATACAACTTTAGCTTTGTCAACAAAAACACTTTATTGATAAAAAAATTCTATAATTACAGATGTTTTTTCGTATAATAAATGAATATTACGATAGAGAGTAAAACACATTAGTGGACAGTTGGTGAGTGGGGCGACGTACCTGCCAGAACCAGACGACCTGTTTGCTAGTGCGCGTGTAGTGTCGGTAGATGGCGTTGCGCTGCCAGTCGTCCACGTCCACCTCCTGCATTCCGCACAGCATCAGCTCCAGCTCGCGCTCGTCGAAGTACTTTAGCCACTCCAGCGGCACCACCTCCACAATAAACACAGTAACACTCATTATTGACCAATGGATGGAGTTATCGGTTTATTTATTTATCTGTACTATTATAATAAAGCATAAACACACACTTCTTTGTTGCCTAAGATGTCAGCAATTACAGCATATTTTTAATAACTCTTTTTGATACAAAGCCCTACTAAGTGTAGTCACATCATGCTTTAGGTCACGTCACGCTTTATATATTTTCACGTCATTAAACTTAGGGGAAAATATTTTGGATAAAAACCCTAATGCGGGAAAGAGACCATAAGTTGTTGCCAACTTTAAGGAAGCAAGATTGCCAAGGTTTGTCATGTCATGTCATTGCTATTTTTCATTGACATTTGCTATTGATAATTTGACAAATGTAAACAATACAATAACATTTTTAACAATAACAATTTCATGCGGATGAAGCCGCACGAGAACAGCTAGTCAGTTTATTTTTTTTGATAATTATTTAACCTTATGGTAGAGTTCATACATTAAGTGGTCGCCTATTTTAACGTTCCTACATTTTTATTAAGAGCGTCGGTGGCTCAGTGTTTTAAGCACTTGATTGGTAATCTACAGGTCTTGGGTTCGAGTCCCACTATGTACCAATGTGATCTTCGATTTTTCCAATTTTCACATGTACTTAATTTACCCGACGTTCTTACGGTTTAAGAAAACATCGTAATGTAACCTGCACATATCTACGAAGAAATTCGAAGATATGTGTGAAATCAACCAACTATGGCCTAGTCACCCTAACTTAGCGTAAGCTCCGAGACCCTCGGTGGGGACGTATAGTGAGCTGGTGATGATGATAATGTACATTTTTATCGTATGCGTTAAAATAACGTATGTTTGGTTACCTCGTTGAATCCGTCGAGGAAGGCGGAAGTTTGTTCCTCAATGCCGCGCGTCATGCGCCACTGCGTCACCAGCTGCAGGTACTGCTCTTTGTTCGCCTAAATAAAAAACATCACATACATTTCACATAAGTTTCCAACATTTTTAGTTGTAACTGTAGCCTAGTACTTAAACAACACTGTAAATGATTTGTAATCAAACACTCACTTCTGTAACCCTCTCCTTGTCGCCGGCAGGCTTCAGTTCGTGATGTATTACTTGTCCCAGGACCTCAAAGTCTACACTGAACCACATCTCCAGTCCGCACTCATCAATGTCATTATCTCTGATCCAAA